TGTACACGACCCATGTGGCGAAAACTTACACGGAATGCACCGTCATCATATGCCCATTCATTGGCAACAGTGACCTGGAATGACATAGTACCACTAACAGTGGATGAAATGGTTCATAAACTCCGAGAGTTCGAAGACAATCTCACTCCTTCCATCATCTCAGCTGTGAAAAAACTGTCCCAGGACCTCGACAAATTGAGGGACGATGTATCTGATTTATCCAGCTCCTCACGTGTACCAACACGCGTCTCAGCTATTAACAAAAGACGTCCTATTGTTCAAGAGAGGAGATACAGAAGGTATACGCCACGGGGTACCCTATGGTTTTACCTGCTGGATCACGGAGAAGACATGACAAAGTGGGATGGAAAACCTACTTCAGCTTTGGAGGAACGGGTGAGTGAACTGAAGAGGGGAGCAAGGGCCAAGACTGATCGTCCCATGAGAGCTACGGCTTCAGTTTCTGGTGAGCAGTTTCCCAGATGGAGTGGAAGAGCTGATTTTACTCCAGCTCCTGTGATAACGAAGAATAATCCCTTTCAACACGACTTAAGTGTCCAATGCTGTGACGACCATTAGAGGGGCCCTGCCTCCAGCCAGGTGGAGGTAGGGGACAATCGGATTTACTGGACTGTGTGGATCAGATGGCCTGGCACATCAGTCCCACAGAAGTATAAGGCTCTAGTAGATACCGGTGCACAGTGTACCCTGATGCCATCAAGCTGTCAAGGGGTGGAACCCATCTATATTTCTGGAGTAACAGGAGGATCCCAAGAGTTGACTGTGCTGGAGGCTGAAATCAGCCTGACTGGGAGGGAGTGGCAAAAGCACCCTATTGTGACTGGTCCAGAGGCTCCATGCATCCTCGGCATAGACTACCTCAAGAGAGGGTACTTCAAAGACCCAAAAGGGTACCGGTGGGCTTTTGGTATTGCTGCTTTGGAGACTGAGGAAATTGAGCAGCTGTCCACCTTGCCTGGTCTCTCAGAAGATCCCTCTGCTGTGGGGTTGCTGAAAGTTGAAGAACAACAAGTGCCAATTGCGACCACAACAGTGCACCGGCGGCAATATCGCACCAACCGAGACTCCCTGATTCCCATCCATCAGCTGATCCGTAGACTGGAGAGTCAGGGGGTGATCAGCAGGACCCGCTCACCCTTCAATAGCCCCATATGGCCAGTGCGAAAGTCTAATGGAGAATGGAGACTAACAGTAGACTATCGTGGCCTGAATGAAGTCACACCACCATTGAGTGCTGCCGTACCGGACATGCTAGAACTTCAGTATGAACTAGAGTCAAAAGCAGCCAAGTGGTATGCCACGATTGATATTGCCAATGCATTTTTCTCCATTCCTTTGGCAGCAGAGTGCAGGCCACAGTTTGCTTTTACTTGGAGGGGTGTCCAGTTCACTTGGAACCGACTGCCCCAGGGGTGGAAACACAGCCCTACCATTTGCCATGGACTGATCCAGACTGCACTGGAACAGGGGCAAGCTCCAGAACACCTGCAATACATTGATGACATTATTGTGTGGGGCGATACAGCGGAAGAAGTCTTTGAGAAAGGGAGGAAAATAATCCAAATCCTGCTGAAAGCCGGTTTTGCCATAAAACGGAGTAAGGTCAAGGGACCTGCACAGGAGATACAATTTTTGGGAATAAAATGGCAAGATGGACGTAGACAGATCCCCACAGATGTGATCAACAAGATAACAGCAATGTCTCCACCAACTAATAAGAAAGAAACGCAAGCTTTCTTGGGTGCAGTGGGGTTCTGGAGAATGCACATCCCAAATTACAGTTCGATTGTAAGCCCTCTCTATCATGTGACCCGGAAGAAGAATGATTTTAAATGGGGCCCTGAGCAGCAACAAGCCTTTGAGCAAATTAAACGCGAGATAGTTCATGCAGTAGCCCTTGGACCAGTCCGAACCGGACCAGATGTAAAAAATGTGCTGTACACTGCAGCTGGGGAGAACGGTCCTACCTGGAGCCTCTGGCAGAAAGCTCCAGGGGAGACTCGAGGTCGACCCCTCGGCTTTTGGAGTCGGGGATACAAAGGATCTGAGGCCAGCTATACCCCAACTGAGAAAGAGATACTGGCAGCCTATGAAGGGGTTCGAGCTGCTTCGGAAGTGATTGGCACTGAAGCACAGCTCCTCCTGGCACCCCGGCTGCCCGTGCTGGGCTGGATGTTCAAAGGCAGGGTCTCCTCTACACATCATGCAACTGATGCTACATGGAGTAAATGGGCTGCACTAATTACACAACGAACTCGAATAGGAAATCCCAGTCGTCCAGGCATTCTAGAAGTCATCATGGACTGGCCAGAGGGCAAAGATTTCGGAATATCACCAGAGGAGGAGGTGGTGCGTGCTGAAGAGGCCCCACCATATAATAAACTGTCAGAAAGTGAAAAGCAGTATGCCTTGTTTACTGATGGCTCTTGCCGTATTGTGGGAAAGCATCGGAGATGGAAGGCAGCTGTATGGAGTCCTGGACGACAAGTTGCAGAAACTGCTGAAGGAGAGGGTGAATCGAGTCAATTTGCCGAGGTGAAAGCCATCCAGCTGGCCCTGGACATTGCTGAACGAGAAAAGTGGCCAGTACTTTATCTCTATACTGACTCATGGATGGTGGCAAATGCCCTGTGGGGGTGGTTGAAGCAATGGAAGCAGAGCAACTGGCAACGCAGAGGTAAACCCATCTGGGCTGCTGCACTGTGGAAAGATATTGCTGCCCGGGTGCAGAACCTGGTGGTGAAGGTACGTCATGTAGATGCCCATGTACCCAAGAGTCGGGCCACTGAGGAACACCAGAACAACCAACAAGTGGATAAAGCGGCTAAGATTGAAGTGGCTCAGATGGACTTAGATTGGCAACATAAAGGTGAATTATTTTTGGCCCGGTGGGCCCATGACACTTCAGGCCATCAGGGCAGAGATGCAACATATAGATGGGCCCGTGACCGAGGGGTGGACTTAACAATGGACACTATTGCCCAGGTTATTCATGAGTGTGAAATATGTGCTGCAATTAAACAAGCCAAGCGGTTAAAGCCTCTTTGGTATGGAGGACGATGGTTGAAGTATAAATATGGGGAGGCCTGGCAGATTGACTATATCACACTGCCACCAACCCGCCAAGGCAAGCGCCATGTGCTTACCATGGTGGAAGCAACCACCGGGTGGCTGGAAACATACGCTGTGCCCCATGCCACTGCCCGGAACACCATCCTGGGCCTTGAGAAACAGATTTTGTGGCGACACGGCACCCCAGAGAGAATTGAGTCAGACAATGGGACTCATTTCCGGAATAACCTTATAGATATTTGGGCCAAAGAGCATGGCATTGAGTGGGTATATCACATCCCCTACCATGCACCAGCCTCTGGGAAAATCGAACGGTACAATGGGCTGTTAAAAACTACACTGAGAGCGATGGGTGGGGGAACTTTCAAGCATTGGGATACACATTTACCAAAGGCCACCTGGTTGGTCAACACCAGAGGATCTGCCAACAGGGCCGGCCCAGCCCAGTCAGAACTTTTACATATTGTAGAGGGGGACAAAGTTCCCGTGGTGCATATGAAGAATTTGCTGGGGAAGACAGTCTGGGTTATTCCTGCTTCAGGTAAAGGCAAACCCACTCGTGGGATTGCTTTTGCTCAGGGACCTGGATATACTTGGTGGGTAATGCGGGAAGATGGGGAAGTCCGATGTATACCTCAAGGGGATTTGATTTTAGGGGAAAACAGCCAGTGAACTCAATTGTATGCTGTTGCCTGCTGTGTAATGCTTTTATAGCCCATCAACTAGATGTCTCCAGGTCACCAGCGACTGGCCCTGACTTCCCTCCAGCCATCATCCCAACAGAGAATGAACTTGGAACATCATGGACCGAATGGACTCGGCAGCATTATAGGGATTGGTCCATGCACTAAGAAAATGATTTTTTTTCCTCTTGGTCTGTATGTATATGGATGTATATATGTGGGAGAGCGATGGTGTATTGAAAATGTGGGATCTGAGCACGACGTGAATGGTATGGAATAAGGGGTGGATAATGTCCTGGGTTCAGCAGTAGCAGTCATGTTTTTTCCTTTGTGTTAGCTGGTGCAGTGCTGTGTTTTGACTTCTAGTTTTGAGAACAGCGTTGGTGAAGCCGATGTTTTCGGTTGTTGCTAAGTGATGTTTACCCTGACCAAGGACTCTGTGAGGCTCATGCTCTGCCAGGGAGGAGGGGAAGCTGTGAGGAAGCAGAGACGGGGCGCCTGACCCGGGCTAGCCGGGGAGGTATTCCATACCACAGCACGTCATGCCCGGGGTGGGGGGTAACTGGGAGTTACCCGGAAGGACAGGAGCTTCCGGGTGGAACTCGTTTTCTTGGCCGGTGGTATCGTATTCTCTTCCCTTGTTATTTTCCCTTATCATTGTTTTAGCTGATAGTAGCGGTGGTGATTTGTTGCTGGACTGTTCTTGTCTCAACCCGTAGGAGTTGCACTCTCTCGATCCTCCTCCCCGTTCCTCCGGGAGCGGGGAAGGGGAGAGCCCCGGTGCAGGGAGGGGGGGGGAGACGAACACGGACCTTGATTGTTGTCAGCTTGGCACCACTCACTGGGAGTGAGTGAACAAGTTACCTGACTGGGTTTAAACCACGACAAGTATTTAAGAAGCTACTTGTGCACCGTCTGGTTAATATTTATACCTCAGCTAAAAGCAGCTTTTTAAAAGGCACTTTTTCAGCCACATGTACAATGACTAATGTGCTTCTGCATGAAGAAGGGGGGAAGAACAGGTGTAGCAAAAAGAAAACAATAGTAGGAAAAAGGTTGTTAGGGAAAAACCATGTAAAGGCCAAAGAACGGAGAACTGGTCCATCCTTAGAGCTAGTTAAGTGTAGCAGCTCACAGTAAATGAAGGCTGGTATGGTTTCATTTTGGGGAGAAGACAATTTGCCAGTCGTTACAAAACTCTGCTACAGCCATTTTCCAACTTACCAAATTGGTCCACAGAAAAAAACTCTTTTTTTCCAGGTGCTTTTGCTGCTTTTCATTTGATGTTTTCCAACCCTAACCACTCTGTGATTCTGTTTTTGTAGGTGACACAACCAGGCAGCACTCTTTGAAGCAAATACAGAAATGTTTCTTGTTGGGAGGGAAGAAAGCCCCTGTAAAGCCTTCAGTGCTCATTTTACATCACTAACATCAGGCACTACAGATGTAACTGCCTAGCACACATAAAAGACTGGCTGAAGAAAACGGAATTAGCATGTATTTTCTTCTTCTTTCTTTGGGCAAACAAGCAGACGTGACACAGCGTCTAAATGAACCATCTGAGACTTCATTTCCATGAAGAACAATACAACTTGGGCAGGAAAAACAAAATCTGAAGCAGCCTTGGAATAAAATCTCCTATCTCAGAAACACTCTTCAATACCTTAGCATGATTTTGAAGGTTTGTTACTGTGTTAAACCATTATAAAACGACACGCATCGGGCTGACACATCAGGCCTTTCAGGAGTTCTGCTGCTTGTGATAATCACTGTTCCTGGCTGGGGAGGGCTCCTTCTTGATGGCCCGTTCTAAGAAAGGGCTATCAGAGAGCTGCTACCTCCCAGTGCAGGATGACAGAGCCAGGGCACTGCATTACTCTGCTGGAGAACTTCCTCATCTGCTTCTTAAAAGTTTCCTTTTGCTTACCCCAACAAGTTCTTAAAATTGCCCTTCTCCTTAGTGCTAAGAAGGGCAGGCAGGAAGGCACATACAAAGCACCCCACTCACATGAAGAGGACAGTAAGCATGATTATGCTTTAACTATCTAATCAAGGGCTGGGTTTATTACTGGAATTCTATGTTCTGCACTATCTGCACGGTCTACACAAGCAAGTAAACATCCCTAATTCAGTAATGTGGATCCCACCACAGCAAGAGCCACTAAAGCTTTTTGCTTTAATGCCTGAGCCGGTCTGGTTGTTTGAAACAAAGATGCCAGTTCACAGGGCGAGTAACTACTTTTAGAGTGTCAAAACCAGAAATTCAGCAGTTCATCAGTAGTCATTCTTCCATTTAATCTCTAATGCCCTCCCTGTTTTGCTCATGGATTATCCAGCTTTACTTTAAACACTGTAGATGTAGCATCAGACTCATACACAGCCATAACACATTCAGTGTGAGAACAGTTTGTGTAAGATTGCAAACTTTACGGGAAACAGGACTGTATGTGGATCTCATCTTGATCAGTATGTCTAGTATATAATCAGGTTTCCAAAAATATTACTGTAGTTCCCTCTTTGTAAGGAAAAGAACCTGAAAATGTTTGAGATGAGGTGATGAGATGATGCTTGCCATGAATAAGAATGTTTATATTGCTGATGAATTAATGTTTGCATGAATGTTTGTGTAACACTTTGTTTTTATCCTTCAGACTGAGCTTTACATAAATTTTAGATGTATTTACCATCCATTAATGATGGCACCATAAATCCAGATTGATTTCCATTGGAGAAAAGAAAAAGAATTGTAAAGAAGCAGGGAAGAACATCACAAATCAATCGTCTCTGACAGATGACTACAACTGGACTTGTTTTTAAGTAAATGGACTTGGGTTTAAGCCATGGTTTAGCAAGAGATCAATACAAGCTGGCAACAGTAGCTAACAGCCAAATTCAAGCTTGGATGTATTTTGAGAGCTGCAAGATAGGCTTTGCATCTTAAACCCTGGAGGAAGGCGAAGAAATATGGAAGACCCAAGATTATGGCCAAGGAATCTTTCACATCCTCAAATCTACAGAGGAAAAAAATGCATTTGAGACCTGCCACCTCAGAAAATGAAGTCTGGGGAGCAAAGCAATCCCGTCCCTCCTCCCATCCAAATCAAGGAAAAAGCAAGTGGCTTTTGAAGCTCTTTGAAGTTCCCTGCAGAGGGCTGATCACTAATCACCAGGAAAAACAACAGGCAGAGCTAAAAACAAAGGGACCGGCTCCTGTCTGCAGCTCCAGACATTGTTCCTGGAGCCTCCAGGAACCTGAAGGAATTACTTCCTTTTCACTTATTTCTGGTTTTCTTTTTTAAGGGATGCCCATGGGTGCATGGGAGCATCAACCAAGCACTGGCCTGACAAAGAGATTTCTTCTGCTTTTCAGTTTTTACACCATGTGCTTTTGAAACTAGAGCTCTAATTGGAGTGCTCTTTTCACATCCATTAAAAAACAGAAAACCAAAATACAATCCAAACCTGAGACTACAAACATATGCTATTACAGCTGGCAACCTTAGTTAATCCAAGACTTGGATATTCTCAGTAGAGGAAGGAAGTGCCAGTGTAATGCCCTGTGCTGATGTGTAAGTACCTTGCTCCAATGCATTTTACTCTCATTTGAAGGTTTCATTAGCAACAGTTAGTTTTTTAAGCTACAAAAGCTTGTTTTTCTTAAGACCTGAAGTACCTGTCAATAGTTTGTTTCTTGGAAAAAGCAGGACACTTATTACTTGCACATCTTGGAAAATCTAACGGGTTAAAGATTGGCAGAGCAAAGCAATCAATATCCTAATCATTATAGCACTCAATGTGCTAAGTTTCAAGAGTTTGGTAGCAAACCCACCCATGAAATATTATCTGGGAATTTCAGTGTATGGGTTAAGAGGTGCATGGTGAGAGAGAAGAGAAACCCCTGCTTTCATTTATTGAGAGCCCCTGGGCTGCAGCCTATTGCTTGGGCCCTTGCTGATCCCAGCCAAGGGATCTTTTTCTGCACAAAAGAAATTAGCTTAGCATCACCAGAAAGCTTCATCTTGCTTACTGATGCTTGTCAAGATGTTTGTTCTAAAAACGTTAGGAAACGGAGGTCTATGGAATCTGCTAATGAAAGGTTTATTATGTTTAATTGAGGTTGATGTTGCATCTGGGTTGGGTTTATTCATCCATGCGGTTAAACACAGATGAGTGATTGTATCATTAGCAAATTTTGTAAAACAATCAATATTCTGTAATGTGAAAAGCAAAGTTATTTTTGGCCATAAATGTTAACAAAGGCACAAGACATCTCCACAGCCTTTTCAATTTTGCCTCCTGGGTGCATTTGTTTTAGCAGCTTCCCCTGACATCTATGCGCTGAATCTTCTTATAACTGGGCTCCACAAAGCCATTCACAGAGTAACTAAACACAGATTTCAAGTTACAAAACAAAGTTGTTCACATTTGGTGGTAAAACAATCCCTGTTCCTGTTGGAATGAGCTTCAAAACACCTCAGTGAACTCATGTTGCAGATAAAGCTCTAAATATAGCTTGCCTGTAAGAGAGTTTTGACCAAAACAAATGATCCAGTTTAATAAGCATCGCTCCCTCCTTATCCCCTGAACGTTCTGCCTGCCAAAGGAGTTAGAAACAAAAATAGCAGTTTATCTTCCTCAAAACTACCAATCCTACAGGCTCCTAATGGAGTCCCAGCTCAGAGGAGTGCAGCAGCCTGAACTATATGGTGTTGGAATTGAAAGCCAGAAAACTGTAAATTAGCTCTTCAAGTATCTGAAAGGGTAGGACATATTATAGTCAACGATTCCACAAGTTCAGCCTCAACTCTCGGATTATTGGTTGCTGACACTCTCTTCAAAGCACAGGATTACACATATTCCCTCGGAAGCTTGTCACTGAGCATCCCAAAGAAGCTCCAAAACAAACCCCAAACTGAAAATATTTTAAGGAACAGATGACTGTGAAAAATACAGAATGAACACAGGAAAAGACTGTGGCTCTTCATTAAAGCATCCACACTTGAACAATTTGCTTTTCTTCCAAGTGTTGTTAAACATTCACTTCAAGTTCCATGTTCAAAAATTCCCTCTTCCACTACCAAGGTATTTCCTAGTAATAAAACCTGATGGTTTATTCATGCCCAACATGTCACAGAAACTTTTGTTATAGGTGTTTTTCTATAGAGCTGATTTCATTGTCAGACTTCGGCATCTTAGCCCCAAATCCCAGAAATCAACATAGAAATCAACCCCAATTTGCAGATGACCAATCTACTATGTCCATCTGCTGCACTATTTAAAGATACCACATTTGTTGACAGAACTTCACCTTCCAAAGGTGAAGCTCCCTGACCTGCTTTATTTTGGCCCAAATACTACTGCTTGTATTACTTGACATACTAATAAGAAAGAATCTTTTTGAGTAGCCATAGTCAAAGAACAACCCTTATTAAATCCCAATATGCACCCTTGCAAAGCTATTTGCTTGGAATTTCCGTACTTTGCATGTTTCTTGCTTTGAAATATATGCGTGATTTATGCTACACAATGCATTTCTACCTAATACATTGTCAGAAGTAGAAATTATTAACAGCAGATCCATCAGTCTTCAGTTTAACAGGAATTTACAATGGTTTATTTATCATTTACAGTAAGGGACAAGCCATAAAGCTTCTCCAGAAAGGCCCCAAAAATGAAGAGAATAACCAGTGTCTGAAGATAGAAAATTAAAGAGGAAGAAGAGATGGATTTAATGAAAGCAATGTCAAATGGAGTGTAAGTGGTTATTTGCATATGGTTTCAGTACTCTTGGGAAGAGTGGGAAGACAGCTGGATAAATAGTGAACACCATCAGTTTCTCCCTCCTTAAAGACAGTACCCACAGCTAATTTTAAGAATTAAGTTTTAGAATTAAGTATCATTTGAAGGGGTAAGAATTACTTTTTTATCAAAGCTTACTAATAAACAGGAATTATCAGAGTATTTCCCGAAATTTGCAATGAATTCCAAATTTTCTGAATAACAGTAATCATGAAATATTTTTGCGTTTTGTAAGACTTATCACTAAAGTAATAAAGATAATTCTTAGCAATAGGTACTTTCATTTAGAAGTAATAAAACCCAAGTTTGTAAATGCCTAAGTTACAATTTTGTTTGATTTCATAAAATACAGCTTTTGCTGGACCCTAACCATGCACTATTCAGCTACAACTGCTCTGTTCACAAGAGTTTTTTTATATGTACTTTAATAAAGTATTATTCATACACTTAGACTGCAGTAGTGGTTTGTGTTGCATCTTCTTGAGCTCACAAGGAGCCATGCTCCAACAGTTAACAAGTTTCAAGAGCAAAACATGCATGTTCAACA